CTCCCAAGCAGCTGAGATTACAGGCACGTGCCCCCACACCCAGCTAATTTTTGTATTTTTTGTAGACACGGGGTTTCACCATGTTGGCCCAGTTAGTCTCGATCTCCTGACCTCCCAAAATGCTGGGATTAGAGGCATGAGCCACTGTGCCCGGCCCAATGTTAGTACCTTTTAAAGTTTCCTCCAGCCAAACTTTTATAGGTAATTCTCCAGCAGCCAACGTTTTGCACATGTTTTAGAATGGAATTTTCGTTGCTAATGCAGCCTCTTCCCCTCTTTCCTGTCTTAGTAACAACGCCATGCAAGCTCAAGCTAGACTAGAAGACATCCCAGCTTCTTCCTTACCTCTCAAACCTCTCACTGCATGTACCTGCAAGACCTGAGTATTCTATTTCCAGATTATCCCTTCTATCCGTTCACTTCCCCCAGCTTCTCAATTTAGACTCAAGCTACCATTGTCTCTCCCTCGTCTCTAGTCATACCCTTTGCACTGACCTCCGTAGTTTCAATTTTGTCTCCCATCTATTCATTTTCCACATAGCAGCATAAATAATTTTGTGTATGGTAAGTAGATGCCAAAATAAATGTTTTCAATAAAAACTACACAATGATAGATATGCTATAACAATGTGAGTTGGGAGGCAGCCAGCCACCCAGGATTTTAAGTCAAAGTAAGACCTATTAGATGACTCTTAAATTTATTATATAACTTCCACAATATAAGGTAGGATGATGCATGATGTATGAATGTAATGACTTTGAAGAGAGCTATTTCGTAAACTATTTTTTCTAGTTATTAATAATTTAAGAAAATATAAACTGAACACTATTATAACCACCTGCATGTGTGTTGTTTCCCTTAAACGATAAGATAAAACTTTTAAAATGGATATGTTACCTTTATAGTAATACTAGTTTCCCAAAAATTAAAAAATTAAAAATAATATAAATTATAATAAAAATTAGTAAGAAAAATTACTTATTTTTCAAAGATTGTACTAAAAGCAGGTCCAGGAAATGTATACAACTTCATATGTTAGTTTTATGTTTATGAAGGATAATAAATGTAGAATAGATGTACCTAGAAGCAGATAACTATCAACTGAAATGAACTATCACTCCACGTTCTTTGCTTTTACCACATCTCAAATGTTCTGGCAATATGACTAGTAAATGAAAGTACAGAAGAAAATCAGAATTTTAAAGCACTCTTACATGCAATACCTCATGTCGTTCACATAAGAACAATGTAAAGAAAGTACCATTGTTCTTTTTATACTGATATACAGGTATCAGGCTGGGCGTGGTGGCTCACACCTGTAATCTCAGCACTTCGGGAGGCTGAGGTGGGTGATAGTTTGGAGTTGGAAACCAGCCTGGGCAACATGGAGAAAACCCGTCTCTACAAAGCACACAAAAAGTTAGCCAGGTGTACTGGCACACACCTGTAGTCCTAGCTACTCTGGAGGCTGAGGCGGAAGGGTTGCATTATCAAGTGAGCTATGATCATGCCACTGCACTCCAGCCTGGGCCACAGAGCAAGGCTCTGCTGAAAAAAGGAAGGAAGGAAGGGAGGGAGGGAGGGAGGGAGGAAGGAAAGAAGGAAGGGAGGAAGGAAGGAAGGGGCATCAACATGTTTAGTTGAATTTCTGAAGGCCAAAATTTTTTAATTCATGTTTTCTGATTTCAACTTTAGACCTTTCTACATATTCCAGCTGCTTTTATTTACAGGCGAATTTTGTCTTTGCATTTACCACATAAAAAGATTTGCATAATATTATTTCAAATGAGATTTAAATCAGTTTAGAAATTTAAAAATTATTATTAATTTTGGACAATAAAATGCCAGGTGACAAATGCTTTCCATCCCCATTTTTCAAAATCAGTTAATAGAAAAGAAGAGAAGAAGCAAAAAAACAAAAGGTAGGGGGAAGGAAAAAAAAGAAAACAAAATTAAAGATGAGGGAAAGTGGAGAAAGAAGGACAAAAAGAATGGAAAGTAAGGAAGCATAATTTAAAAAATAATTCTATCAATAAACATTATCATCCCTCCCTTACAAATAACTACTCACAATTGTGGAACTAAAAAGCGTTCATCTATCCACATCCATAGATTTCCTTGGGATGTAACATGTAATCCAATCCAACCAAAATGCCCAGGTTTTAAACTGTTCTGTATGAACTTCTGTAGAGAAAATGGTGTATTTATTCATTCATTTGTTTAAACAAATTTTGATGTCTTCTACAGAGTAAATCTCTGTGCCAGGCATTAATAAAATATATTTTTATATACATTAGCATTTTCATAAACAATAGTAACTACCTTATGGCTAACACATGTTCAAAAGCAATGACAATAAACCTCCCATGCTTCTTAGACAGTGAACCTGCACCTAGCATGCTTTCTTTGTGAAGTTAAATCCT